AGCACTCTACCACTTGAGCCACAGCTCTACTTTCTGACTTTCCTGCCTGGGCTGGCAATGAACTACAATTCTCAGATCTCAGCCTCTGGGGTAGTTAGGATGACAGGTGTGAGCCACAAGCCAAGTGCTAGGCTCAAGTTACTTTTTTTTGAGGCATGCTTTATCCTAGGGAAGGAGGCTCAGTATGAGCTCAGAGTTCTCTTTCTGTTGAACTTGGTGATTGTGTCTTCATTTTAAGCAAGTTCTTGGAGAGTCAAACTACAAAGCCACTGACACCCTCCAAAGATCTATATAAAGGTGAGAAATGGAATCACTCCACACTGAAATTCTGTGGAGCTGGCTCCTGTTTTTCCACCCTAGCAGCTGAATTTTCCCTGAGGCTCTATGTACACGACCTTGTCATTTGCAGAGTCCTTCACTAATTTTCTGTCTAGTCCTTCCTCCCTCTGTGTCAGAATTCCCACAATCTATACTTTATTTTCTTCTTAGAAGTCCAGCAAACTGACCTGTTACTGATTTAAAAGGTAAAACAATATAGCCTTTGGTTTTGAAATAACTACAGACTCACAGGATTGCAAAATAGTACATAGAGTACCACATACTTTCTGCTTAGCATCCCCAATAAGATGGTGATACATAAATGCAGTAAAATATCAAAAACAGGAGTTGGTCCTGGGTCATTGCTGTTATCTAGACTACTGTGTAACCAATTTTGGACAAACATCTCAAATCATGATAAAACACTAAATACTTTGTCTTGACATGGGGTAAACGGACTGATGAGGACTTTGGTATCCTCACAGAGCTGAAGCGAAGCTGTAGGACTGTGATTCCAGGCTGGGTGATGGATCATGTCTGTAATTCAGGAGGCTATTCAGGAGCTATTCAGAAGCTATTCAGGAGGCTGATATTTGAATGATCAAGAGGGAGGGAGAGAGACAAGGTCTCACCATATAGCTCTGGCTAGTGTAGAACTTACCAATGCTAGGATTACAGGTTTGTACCACTGTGTCTGGCTCCAGTCTCATACTTGGATTTTCCTTTTTCTTTTTTCATTTTCCCTCCCTCCCTCCTTCCCTCCCTCCCTCCCTTCCTTCCTTCCTCTTTCCTTCCCTCCTTCCCTTCTTCCCTCCCTCCCTTCCTTCTCCTACTATCCAAATCCCAGAGTGCCTGGAATTCACTCCATAGCCCAGGTTGGGCCCAAACTTAGGATCTCTTTACCTCAGCCTTCCAAGTGCTGGGATTACAGGTGTGTACCACCAAGCTTGGCAGGTGGTTTCAAAATTAATGACCCTTTCTGTCTATAATTAGCAATTTAGGATTGCTCGGTCTGCCATAGGTAGGTGTTTCTTCCTCCACCAGCATGGTGAGAACATTGGAGTCTAACTAGCCGGCACAGGTGGCTGGGAATGGGCCTGCTTATTGCCATCCTGGCAGCCATGTCTTGGGCGTGCTGGTTAGGGTTAGGTGACACTGGCCTGCAGAGGAGAGTAGGAACAAAGATTGTGGAGAAAAGCCATTCCCATGTCCTTTCTCTATGGTTGGACCTGGCTTATGAATTTACCTCACCAGGTGTTTGCAGCTTCTTTGTGAATATGAAGAGGCTGTTTTAAGTAATTATCTAGTTCATGTCCCAGCTACAAGGTCCTTCTCAGCTGTTTCCTTCCAAACAGCTTCATTGTTCTGTGTGACATCTCGTGACTCACAATCAGCTCTTCTCAAGGCCCCAGGCTTGAGCTGTCTATAATGAGATCCTGAGGGGAGGGGGGACAGCTAGCTGCTGTCTGTGTCAAATAGAGGACCCTCGCCCCAAAATAGAAACAAAAACAAGCTCTGTTCCTAACTGGCTTCCTTCCTTGAGCTCTGACCTAATTGCCTAACCTCTGTAATTCCCCAAAGTCTCTTTGCATCTGGCCTCAAATAGGGTTTAGGGCTGTGACTCAGAATCTAAGAGAGACATGGTCACCAACCAGCTCTCAGGCCTAGAGTAGCTCTGGCTATAAGAATGTTAGGTTAGGGGCTGGGAACGTGCCTTAGTGGTAGAGTGCTTGCCTAGCATACATGAAGCCCTGGGTTCGATTTCTCAGTACCACATAAACAGACAAAGCCAGAAGTGGCACTGTGGCTCAAGTGGTAGAGTGCTAGCCTTGAGCTCACAGACTCAGGGACAGTGCCCAGGCCCTGAGTTCAAGCCCCAGGATTGGCAAAACAAAAAACCCAAACTACCACCACCAACAAGAATGTTATGTTACAGGAATATTATTGATGTTTATGACAGCCTTTTCAGAAGGACCAAGTTTGTGTTATCCAGCAAGGGGTTTGGGAGTTACTGAAGGCCTCCAGGACGATAGTTAAGGTGAAAATGGGGTGAAAGAGTTAAGGGCATAGCTGGGCATGGTGGCTCATACCTATAATCCTAGTTACTGAGGAGGCTGAGACATGAGGATCTGGGTTTGAAGCCAGCCCAGGCAGGAAAGTCAGTGAGATTCTTACCTCCAATTAACCACCAAAAAGCCAGAAGTGGAGCCTGTGGCCTGTGGCTCAAGTGGTAGAGTAAAAGGAAGATTAATGACAGCCCAGACCCTGGGTTCAAGCCACAGGACTAGCACAAAGAGAGGGGGGAGAGAGAGGGGGAGGAGAGGGAGAGGGAGAATGTTAAGGATATTTAAACCAGCAAACTGAGCAGGTAAATTCTCAGAATATATTTGCTGTGGGGCTGTTTATAAAGCATTTCCTATTGAAGCAGTTTTGACCTCCCACTACTGTGCAATCTACCTGAGGCTGCAGGCCATTAAAAAGACACAACAAAACAAGTGGGGATTTGTCCTTGCTCCACAGGAACACCCAGGTTGGCAGGCCCTTAGACAGCTACGGGGGGTAGGGGATTAAGGCGACTTCCTTTTGCCTGCTGGGTATCTGGTAGGGTAGGCAGGGAGGAAGAAGTAGGCCTTTGTTGTGGACACCCTCTGTGATGTGCATTCAGGGAGAGAGTGCCTAACTGCAAAGGCTCAGCAGGAGACAGACGAGCGTTCTGGGTAGCCTGGGATGTAGAAAGATGAAAGGGTGTCTCCACCTTTCCACCTCTGTCTGCTCCCCTGGAACCCAAACCAACAACCCATTGTCGTCGAGCATTGGGGGGCGAAAAGCTTCCATCTGGGGCGTTCGATTGTCCTTTAGGTGTGTACCAAATCTCTAGTGGGCAGTCAGGAGTGGGACAGCAGGCCTGTAGTCCCAGTACCTGGGCAAGTAGAGGCAGGAGAAGGGGAAGATCTGGGCCAGTTTGGCAACCTAGCAGCGATAGAGCCCGTCTCAAAGGCAGAACTAGACCGCAGGCGCACAGGTGCCTGGGCCCTGCGCGCGCGGCTCCTCTCTGGGCCTGAGCGGCTCCGGTGCAGCACAACCCCTCTCTCGGCCCCCGTGTGGGGCGGGGTGCGGCGTGGGCATTCGCCGCTTTCCTTTCCGGGTCAGTCCGCTCTTATTTCAGGCGTGGAGTGGCACCGTCCCTGGGGCATTCTAGGGTGTCACCTCTGGCATTTGCTCCCATGGTGGAAAAACAAGTCCGCATGCAATGCATCGGGTTTCTGAACAGCTGCAGGAGCGCAGAAACCAGACGGTCAGCAAAGCTGGGCTGTGTGTGCGTAGGGGTGGGGTGTGGGGGGGGTGAGATGCAGGGAACACGAAATGATGGGGTGCGGGTAGGAGCAGGACGGGGCGGGGAAAGGGGGACCGTGGCCAGGCAGGCATCTCCCTAGGCGCCCGGGGCTCCCCGGAGGGCGGAGGCCCGGGCGGGGCGAGCGGCGGGGCGGGCCCGCGGTGCCCGGCACGGCTCGCAGCAGCGCATGCAGGACGTGCGCGACGTGTGGCGGCTCCGCGGCGGTGTGGGGCGCAGCGGGCGCCGCCCCCTCGCCTCCAATCACAGTCCGGCTGAGCGCGGGGCGCGCGCGTGCGCGCCAAACTCACATCCGCGTGGCTGTCCCCACCGCGGAGATGGTGTGTGTGGGGGGGAAATCCCCGCCCTGCGCCCCCAGGCGTCACCGCACAGCCTGGCTCGGCGTCCCCAGCTCACGCACAACTGCGCGGGGGAGGTGGGCAGCGGGATATGGAGAGGCGCGCGCACACTCAACGGCGGCGGGGCGTCGAGTTAGTCTCCGTGATCAGATTCCCCCGCCCCCCCCATAATTATTCCGGATTTATAGTCAGTGAATTGCAGGTGGAAATGGGGTGGGGGGTGTCGCGTTCCATCCAAGTTCGCTGAAAATCGCGCGCTTTGCATGGGAGAACCGAGGTGCCCGCTCCACCCTTGGCCTTCCCCAAAGTTCAGCCCGGCCTGCCCGGCTCTCCTGCCCCCCCTCGAGCCCCGCACGCAGAACCCCCTCCCGGGTTCCCGTGTTGGGGTGGGGCAGATTCCGATGGTCCCCAGGGAATGGTGACACCCCCCCCCCCCAGCACCGGGAACTTCCTGGTCGGTAGGGTCCTGGGTGAGGACTGGGATTATCAGAAAACTGTTTGGGCCTGGGTCTTTCACCTGGACAGAGCCTGCCCAGGAGCTGAGAGCCGCGTTCAGAGCCCCGCCCCAGGCTAGAAAGGTCGAAGCTAGTAGAGGATGCCTGGACCTGGGTGTGGACTGCCCCCGGCCGCTTCCCTGTTCTTCCCGGCACCCTTCAGGGAAGGGTCCGGAATTCTAAGGGGAAGCGGTGCCAGGTCTAGTTGGAGGTAAAGAAGGGGTTAAAAATAAAATAAAAGACAGCACCCCCCGCAGACGAGCTCCGGGGTCCCCGGGACCGGGTCGGGGAGCGGAGCCCGCGCCGCCGCCGCCGCCGCCGCCGGCCAGCAGGGGGCGCGCGCCGCCCGTCTCCGAACGCTCCCATCTCCGCCCCACGTGAAAGGGGGCTGGGACCCAAAGAATGCGGCCCGCCCCGCGGCTGACGCGCCGGGCTGCCGGCCGGGTGGATTAAAAGGCCGGGCGGTGCGGGTGGCATCCCCATAGAGCCGGAGCGGAGACGAGTGGCGGTGCCGGGCGGCGGTGAGCGCGGCTGTCACGGTGCCCCAGCATCCCCGGGCTTCCCAGAGCCGATCCTCCCCTTCCCCCGACCCGCCCGCCGGCGGCCCCAACCCCGCGCCCGCCCGCCCGCGTCCCGGACTTCGCACAAAGCACGTTCCCCACGCAGAGCCCCGGCCGTCCTCAGTCTTTTGTTCCGCGGGGGCTGCCGCTGCCCTTCCCGCGTCGGAGTCTTCCTCCCGGGGTGGCGGGGCCCCGCCGGGCGCAGTCGCGAAGATGCCCTTGGAGCTAACCCAGAGCCGGGTGCAGAAGATCTGGGTGCCCGTGGACCATCGGCCCTCGTTGCCCAGATGTGAGTGCAGCTGCGCGGGCTTCCAGGCTGCAGGTGGAGTCGCGCGCGCCCACCTCGGCCTTTGTAAGCGGTGGCGGCGGCGGCATTGTGCCGCTTCCCCGCTGCGGGGAGCGCGCTCAGGCCGGCGGGGCGGCGTGGCCGGCGGGGCCGGCGGGGCTGGCGGGGGCCGGCGTGGCCGGCGGGGCTGGTGGGGCCGCGAGGTGCGTCTCCCCGGGCCGGGCGGCAGGGGCGCTGTCGCCCCAGACACTGAGATGCCCGGCCCGGGGCTGCGATCGCTGGGCGCGCAGAACGCGCGCGCCTAGGGGGGAGGCCCGGCACCCGGGCGCCGGGAGCCTGGGGCGCGGCCGTCCGCCCGCCCGCTTCCCCGCCCCTCTCCTCTCCTCCCCTCCTCCCTCATCTCTGCACCTCTCCGCACGCCCATCTGCCCTCACGAGTCACACGTTCCGCACCCGTCTGCACGCCCATCTCCCCTGGCTCCTGTTGCACACATTTGTGCACCTCTGCACGCACGTTCATCTCTCCTCTCGCTTCGCACACGTCGGATTCTTTTTTTGAATATTTTATCATCTTTAAGTAGTTGCACCGAGGAATTGACATTCAACAAAGCGGGTTATGGATACAGTGGGTCCTTATCACCGTCACCCTTGATTTTCACCTCTCTCAACCCACCCCCTTCACTTCAGATTCGCATCCCCCCCCCCCTTTCTACTCGATCTCTCCATGCTTTCTCGCTGTCTGCCCGTGGTTCGTGACCCCCACTTTCCTATCGGTGAATCTCCACCTTCCTCTCCTATTCCGGGGGCTGCAGGTGCGTCTGGGGTTGGGGACGAGCCAAGGGCGACCCGGATCACGCTTCCTCTGTCGACTTTGCCGGGGCGGGGGGGGGGGGTGTGGACGGGCCGAGGGTGGGTGATTGCACGGTCAGTTGCATTTCACACGTGCGCACACACTCCCCGGACTCCGGATTCGCTGGCAGTGCGCCTGTGGTGCTCTGTCCAAAGTGGGTTCCCGCTTCAGATGCAGCGCCGCCTCTGGAAAGGGCGATTGGAGGGGCCAGGCGCCCGTAGGGTGGTCAGCGGTACGGTGCCAAGTGCGGGTCTGCCGTCTGAGGGGCCACCTCGGACCCCAGGTTTAACCCCTGGGAGGAGCCTGTGGGCACGGGGGACACCTGTATGCCTGCCAGGTGGCCGGCTGGGGTTTTCTCCACTGCCACGTTTCCCTGGATGGCCACCTCTGGATGGGATACTGGCCTGGAGATGGGCCGGTTCTGAGTCACCGGCTGCCCTGCGCAGACCTGTCCCAGCCTCCGGGGCGGGGCGCCCTCGGGGCCCTGTGCGGGACCCTAGGGTCTGGGGGGAAGCAGCCACTAGGAGGAGTCTTGTTCTCCCTCCCTTCCTGGCTAAGTGGCCAGTGATGGAGGGCTTGGCAGGTGTGCTGCTGGTTCCCTAGAGAACGTTGAGAGGCATCTGCTAAATGCAGGGGAGTGTGGGGGGGGGGGGGAGGGATTCTGGTTGTCTTTTACTTTGTTTTCATAAGAATACCTCAGCCAATGATCGGAGTGGTAGTTTATGTCTGTAATCCCAGCACTGAGACAGGACACTCTGGTGAGTTTGAGGCCAGACCTCAGAAGATCCTGTCTCACAATTAAATGAAGATTGAAGAAAATAAAATGATAGCGCTCACCAGGGGGATTTGGGCATGACCAGGTCTAGCGTGTGTCTCTTTTGAACTTTTGAATTAAACCAATATTTTGTACAGGGCACTTCATAAACTTTAGTGGGGCCCCTAATGCTTTTTGTGTGTGTGTGTGTGATTGTATGATGTACCCCCCCCCCCCAACCCCAAGTTTGGTCTGAGATGAATGTCCCAAGTTTCTTCAGGGTCACAGAGTTTGGTTAGTGTGGCTCAGCAGTGATTTAGAGGGACAGCAGCTTGCAGCCTCGCCTTCTCCCCAAGGCTTCACAAACCTGTCCATTAGACTCCACAAAGCTCAGGCTTCTCACGAAGCCACACGTTTCTCACGAAGCCAAGAGATTTTTGCAAGGAATGGCTGCAAGAACTATTCAGAACTTTGGGAGAGGAGAGGTGTGGTGTGTGTGCCTAAACCTAAGTAAGCTCTCTGGGCCTGGCCCGCCCCTCCGGGAAGCCTGCTGTGTGACTCTGGGGTGTGGGCTCAGCTACATTCCTTAGAAAAGTCTCCACATCTGGGCACTGATTACGCATGTGTTCAGGTGGTGACTGTTGGTTTATATGGCTCCATTGGACTCTTATCCGAATGCCAAAAAGCACATTTCTTCTCTAATGACATTTGGAATCATGCACAAATTTACTTTTTCCTAAATCTGTTACAGTCCAGATACCCTGACTCCTGAGGCTTACCACCAAGGGTGCGGGGTTCCTGCCAAATACAAGCAAATACTAGGAACAGTGGGAGATCAACCCAGATATGGGGATGGATACTTGTGCCTCTGGGTTAAGTGTTCCTCCACCAACATGGCGGTGGGTGCTTCTTTCAAATCAGTGCTTGCATCAATTGGAATCATGACTCCAGGTTAGGAGACGTACTGAATGTGTGAATTAGCTTAGCTGACAAGACAGACGTGAGTTCTGGGCTAGCAAGAGTTGGTTCTGCTTCTGTTCAGTAATTTTTTTTTTAAACTAAACATTGGAAGCCTTCCTACTTAACCTGAGTTACTAACCACTCAGAACCTCAGTTTCCTCTTCTGTAAAGAAGGTTACATGGTGGGGTGCTAGTGGCTCACGCCTGTAATCCTAGCTACGCAGGAGGCTGAGATCTGAGGATCAAGATTCAAAACCAGCTCAGGCAGGAAAGTCCAAGAGACTTATCTCCAATTAGCCACCAGAAAACCAAAAGTGGCACTGTGGCTCAAGTGTTAGGTAGAGTGTGGAAGAGTGCCAGGCCCAGAGTTCAAGCCCCAGGGATGGACAAAAAAAAAAAAAAAGGTTATGTTTCTACAGGCTTAATGAGTGTATGGAATAGGGGTTGGGGAAGAGGGTGGAGGAAGGAAGGTAGTATCCTGGATCCTCTCCTTTCTCAATATGATGGGTCCTCAAAAGTGCACTGGAACTTGACAGGCATTGGATGAAAGGTAGCATGGGGTGACTATGTGGTCTCAAAGTATATTAGGTACATGTACAGAAAATGTCTTAATGAAACCCATTAGCGTGTGCAGTTTTCTTTTTCTTTTTTTTTTTTTTTGAGGCTGGGTCTCTTTAATATAGCCCAGGCTAGCCTCAAACTCATAATCCTCCTAACTTTTAACCTCTGTAGGGCTGGGATTACTGTGCTACTACATCGGGTTGCTATTTTATATAACTAACATATGCTAATTGAAAAAAGAAGGATTAAAAAGTTGCCATTCCCCCTTGGAGCAAAGGAGGTACTGATATGAGTCAGTGCAGAGTTGTCTTAAAAAGTAGATACAAAAACAGTATCTTAAAGCACCAAGTGCTTAACAAAATTGTTAATCTCCAAAATACAGGAGAGTAAGATGACTATTTTTGTTCAGGATTTAATGCCTGGGATTGGTTGCATGTGAAGGAAGGTGGATGTGTCACATCAGATAGGAAGATGTTCCTCTCGTGAGAGTTAATAGACACCGATAGTTCTCTAATTTAGGGGAGAAGGATGGTTGTTCCAGAGAATTACCTCTGAAGTCTTTGTGCCCTACAAATTGTAGCAGGGACTCTCAGTGAGGATTGTACCTTCGAATAATTTGCGTGAGATTTGGAAAAGCAAAATCTGTACTCACCGAGTTAGAATTACCCCTGGTGGGACTCACATACACTGTTATTATGTTTAAAAAAGTTTCTAATTTCAGCCAGCAGTACCACTTGCTTAAGGAAAAGACATTTGAGAGGATTCCACAGGAGAACTAAGCCCGTGATGCTTTTGCCATGAGCCTCCAAAAGAGAGGTAGCCAAGATGGCTGGTACCCATGAAGGACATTACAGTAAGCGGTTCCGGTGACTTATGTCACGGTTCATTTTCACACCAGTGCCTGTGTGAATTGTCCCCTCATTGTACAGAAAGGAAGACAAAACCTCAGAGAGATTAACTTGTCCAAGGCCCAAGGAGGTGATGGCCAGGCTTTGAACTCTTGTGTAAGGGACTCCAGGCTGTGTACTTCATACTGTGCTATTGTATTGCCTTTCAGTTGTCAGTGAGTCACTGAAATGCTTCATCCTGGTGTTGCTGGCAGAGATTACACGGGGCTGGCCTTCCAGGCACCAAAGATGATCAGTCTACCAATGCAGAAGAGCTTTTGATAAAAAATGTCTATGGTCTACATTCTACCCCTCCCATCCCCGCCCCCCCTCCCCCCACTTTGCCCCTGTAATCTCAGGCCTGGCTCACTTCCTATTACTGTCAGCAGTCTTGGAGGGCACTGTCAGCTGATCCAATGATACTGGGAGAGCAGTGTGAATCAAGTAGCAGCTATATGATTCAGCCGAGCTGTCTGTGCTGGTATTTCTTGCATTCTGGTCTCCTAAGGACCAGGAAAGTTAAGCCTGTTTTCCAGAGAGATCTTAGGGTGGCAATGTTTCTGTATAGCTTTATTTTGCCCTTGTCTTGGGCGGGGGGGGGGGGGGGGGGGGGGGGGCGGGGGGGGGAATATTCAGGTAGGGATAGAGATAACCAGGTTTTGGAGACATTTGAGATATGCTGAGAGTTTAATAAAGGGGCTGGGAGTGGTAGTGCACTTCTGTGATCTGGAGGCTGAGGTAGGAAGATAGAGTTACATGACAGGCTGGGAATGTGGCTCAGTGGTAGAATGCTTGTGTAGCATGCATGAAGTCCTGGGTTCGATTCCTCAGTACCACATAGACAGAAAAAGCCAGAAATGGCTTTGTGGCTCAAGTGGTAGAGTGCTAGCCTTGAGCAAAAGACAGCACTCAGGCCATGAGTTCAAGCACTAGGACTGATAAAAAAAAAAGACTTGTACAGCTTGGGAAACAGCCCTCTCCCCTCCAGGGGTGGTAAGGGTGATGAAAGAATAAAAAGTTGATTTGATCCCTAGGCCCAAAAGATAGTAAAGGAAGGTACAGTTTCTGGTACTCATCTGAACCTATGGGTAGAGTGGTGTCTGCTTCTCCCACTAAAGGGAGTAATGGTTTGTTTCAGCCTGAACTTTGGTCTGAAGGAATTAACTCTGCTGTTTATGGATTTGTTTGTTTTCTCCCTCCCCAAATGTCTTCTGTCAGAGGAGATTTGCTCCTGTGATTAGTGGCTAGACTTAATCCCCGATTTGATAGCCCAGTCAGCTGTTGCCTGGGCTCCAGGGCCTGGTTCCAGCCAAAGCCTGGCATATGCGTGCACATTTGTGTCCGGGTCTGACTCTGGGCGTGTCTGCATATTCTCAGGAGTGGTGGCTTGGGGTCACGGAGACCCCAGAGAGGTGGGGAAATGAAGGGGGAGGACGACTGTGGCCAGTGGGTGAGTGGGTTTTGTTCCAGACACAAGTGATCTGACTTGAGTTGTCCCTGCCACTTACGTGCAAGCTCTTCCGCCGCTGCTGAAAGAGCCTCCTGGACACCTTTGGGCGTGCCGTGCTCAGGAAAAATGCTTGACTCCAGGGGCCTCCAGCCCCTTGGGGATTGTTCCCACAGCTGCTGCTTATCGCTAGTGAGGTGGAGGGCCGAGATAAGTTTCTGTTTTCTAGGAATCCGTCTTTCTAGGCCTCTGGATGTCAGAGATAGGGAAGGCTTTGTGTGGCTTCTGACACTTGGCCTCCAGAAAGCCTCACTTCTTCCTCTTCCTCACCTGGGTGCTGACCTCTGCCTCTCACACCCGCGCCACGCAACCCCAGCCTGCCCATCTGGAAAGCAGAGCCCAGAATGCACTGTGGTGTTTGGGAGATTATTTACTTTGGTTTGGGATCATGGTTGATGTCCATATTAGGCCTACAGGTATCCTTTCTTTCTTTTCCCCTCTCCCTCCCTTCCTCCCTTTCTCCCTCCCTCCCTCCCTCCCTCCCTCCCTCCCTCCTTCCCTCCTTCTCTCTCCCTCTTTCTCTCTCCCTCCTTCTCTCTATCTCTTTCTTTCCTCTCTTCTTCCTTTCTTTTTTCCCCTTCCTCCCTTCCTCCCTTCCTTCCTCCCTTCCTCCCTCACTCCCCCCCCCCCCCCCTTTCTGCTTGAACTCAGGACCTGGCGCTGTCCTTGAGCTCTTTTACTCAAGCCTAGTATTCTATCACTTTAAGCCCTTAGCGCCACTTCCTGTTTTCTGGTGGTTAATTATGATCTCAGCCTCCTGAGTAGCTGGGCTTACAGGTGTGAGCCACAGGTGCAGGGCTAGAGATGCTTTTTCTAATCATGTGCAGGCACCGATAGCATCATCATCCAACCAAGGTGGTGGCAGTCCCCTCTCCCTGCCTGCGCAGCCTTAGGCTCCTCCTTGAGGCCGAGCCTCTGTCCAGATCTGACATCTGCCTGGATTGGCCATATGGCCCCAGCTTCAGAAGTGATGACGGCTGGCTGGGTAGAGTAGGCAGGTGGCCTCTGGCATACGATCTCCTTTGTCACTAGGATGCAGTTGTCGCCTGAGAGTCTCACACAGCCTAGGAAAGAAATACTGGGCCTTCAGTTTCTAGGACTAGCTGCTTTTGTCAGCTTTCTGAAAACCTTGGCCCCGGGTACTTTGTTTTACTGAGGTTCTCAGGAATATGGGTCACTCATTCAAATGTGGAGACCCAGAGGGAATTCAAAGTCAAGGACATCTCTGCTAGAGCTAGCAGAGATCAGTGACCAGCAATTCCCTAGGTAGACCCTGGCACCCTTCAGAATGGGGAGGCAAAGTGGAGGGGGCCGGAAGATCAGGAAAGAATGTGAGCAGTTCGAGGTTGAGGGTGTTCACCTGTCCCCTCCCTCCCTCCATAGGGTCTGGGGTTCTGGGTCTCTCATCTACTTTCTTTTCATACTTTTAGAATTAGCTTTTAAAATTAAAATTATTTTAAAATTTATTTTAATTTTTAAAAGAAAGGTTGGCTTCTTTCTGTCTCTTGGCTTTCTGATTGTCACCTCCAATATCCCTCTGTGTGTGTGTGTGTGTGTGTGTGTGTGTGTGTGTGTGTGTGTTTTATGTCAGTTCTGAGGCTTGAATTCAGGCCTGACATTGTTCCTGAGCTTTATGCTCAAAGTTAGCACTCTACCACTTTGAGCCACAGCTCCATTTCTGTCTTTTTTGGTGGTTAATTGGGGATATGAGTCTCATGGACTTGTCTGCCCATGCTGGATTTGAACAATGATCCTCAGATCTCAGCCTCCTGAGTAGCTAGGATTACAGATGTGAGCAAGCCCCTGGTGCCTGGCTAATGTCCCTCTTTTGTCTCTTCAGTTTATATTCTGCATTTGGAAATTTCCTCTCTGTAGTGTTCACTTCATACTCCCTGGTACTAGGTTTCTTCCTTATTCCCTTGAGTTCTGCTCTGTAGTGTTAGTCTTTGGTGGAACTAAGGGCCTGTCATATCTGATTGTATTTGATACTGTTGCTTTGTTCATAAGTATAATCTGGAAAAATATGATTGAGCTGCACGAGGAGGGACTCAGGTCATGAGGGCATCTGATTTCATTGGATTGTCAAGTCCCAGGGGCTCTGGGATGGGACATGGCATAACGCTTTCGTACCATTCTTTGTGTGTATATGTATCTGTCAGTCCTGGAGCCTGAACTCAGGCCCTGGGTGCTAAGGGACAGCTCAAGGCTGCCATGCTATTGCTTGAGCTACAGCTCCACTTCCTGTGCTATTCTTTGAAGTCTGTAGGTTGTGGGACTCTGTTCTTCACCTTTTGCCACTTGAGTGATGACTTTTCTCTGTTGCTTTTTCTAGCCTGTGGTCCAAAGCTGACCAACTCACCCACGGTGATTGTCATGGTGGGCCTTCCTGCCCGGGGTAAGACTTACATCTCCAAGAAGTTGACTCGCTACCTCAACTGGATCGGAGTCCCAACGAAAGGTGAGCCAGGTCCCTGGGCTAAGGCCTTTACATCATGGCCTGCTTGCCAGGCCTGAAAACCTGACCTTCTACCTCTGGTTGTTGGTGCCCAGAGGCAGGGCCCCTCCTGGGTAGGTCTGTATCAGGGTCATAAAATCTGATCCCACCACCCATTCCAGCTGTGTTCCCAATCCAGCTGTGTCTACGCCCTTTTTTTCCTGTTGGGTTTGGTCTCATTGACCAATCCTCTCTTTCCCACTCCCCTAAGTCCTGCCTGACCCAGGTTCCACCTGCTCCATGGCGCTTCCTCCCATCACCTCATTCTCTGCAGCTCTTATCCTTGAAATTCCCTTTGTATTTAGAGGTAACATTGCTTTTCCTGCTGGTCCTCAAGTGCTCCATGCTGCTCTTCTGTTGCTGTATCTCTGCCTACTTTGCCCAAGTAAACAAGAAATGAGGATAGGGACTAGTAAGTTTTTTGTTTGATTGTCTTTGTGCTGGGACTGGGGCTCAAACTCAGGGCCTCATGCTCTTGTTGAGCTTTTTGGCTCAAGGCTGGTGTTCTACCACTTGAGCCACACCTCCACTCCTGGCTTTTCTGCTGGCTTAATTGGAAGTAAGAGTCTCTTGGATTCATCTTTTGGGACTAGCTTTGAACCATGAGCCTCAGATCTCAGCTTCCTAAGTAGCTAGGATTATAGGTATGATTCACCAGCACCTGGCATACAGAGATTAGTTTTTTTATATTTGCTATCTTTCCCGCAGTTCTCAGCAACTTCTTCTATGGAAGGGAGGGAGTGTTAGGATTGAAGCTAGCGCCTTGCACATGCTGAGCTACTCCTCAGCCCCTTCTATCAAGTTCATTTCCTTGGTCTGAGACTCACTCACTTATAGATACCACAGGCAAAAAGATCACTGTACTTGTTTTTTTTTTTTAACCAGACCTACAGCTCTCCCTTTTTTCACTATCTCAGTCTTGGCCCAGTAGTAGATTACTGGGTTTGGAGGCTGGGCTGTAGGGCAGGCTCAGGAAAAGCAGGTAGTGCTGGGCGCCATAGTGTGGTCAGGGAGGCGCGGGGCTGCTTCCTCTCTGGCTGCCTGCAGGAAGGAGATGGTAAGTCTGGACTGTGAATGCCCCGCTCTGCTTTCCGTGTCAGGTTGTCATTCTATTTGGAGTAGTGTTGGTGGTGGGTTTTCCCTTCTTCCCACTGGCTCATCCAGGGCTGTCCTTGTCGTCCCCTCCAGTGTTTAACGTGGGAGAGTACCGGCGTGAGGCTGTGAAGCAGTACAGCTCCTATAACTTCTTCCGCCCTGACAATGAAGAAGCCATGAGAGTCCGAAAGTAAGATATGAGCTGCTTTGCAGACACAAGTTCTTTTTTTTTTTTTTTGAGTTTTCCTTTGTTTTTAAGCCAGATTCAGTATGAGGAAGAGAAAGCCAGCCTGTGGTCTGGCTCTCCCCTGGTGGCCATCAGAGCTGTCCCGTGTCAGGGCAGATGTCTGTGAGACGCTCAGCTTTGATCTGCTCCCAGATAGTTTAACTGAGCTGAGGCCAGTTAGATCCAAAGCCGCTACTTCCCGGGAGTGAACAAAGTCCTTTTCATTGTGAATCATCTGTTTGTGTTGGGACACGATCTCTGGTTAAACTGGAGGTGGTGGGGAAACCCTTGTGTGGTGGCATTTTGCTCTGATGGCACAGTAGAAAAGTGGAGACCTCATCAAGATCCCTTTGATGCCAGCCCCACCCCAGGGCTGGTCCTTGTGGACCAGGTGGGCTCCAACCCTGCTTTTTCAAAAGCTCCCAGAGGAAAGATTGCAGTGTACCTCCCAAGGGCTCCTGGGACCTTGGATTGGAAGCCTGGGAAGATCTGGCTCAGAGCCGGCAGGGCCTGTGTTGGGACAGGTGAGGGGGTTACTCCAGCTGTCGCAGCAGATGCTCTGACACGTGGCTTCTCTTGTCTTGCAGGCAGTGTGCCTTAGCTGCCCTGAGAGATGTCAAGAGTTACCTGACGAAGGAAGGGGGACAGATTGCAGTAAGTCTGGGGGTGGGCGTGGCTAAACGGGTAGGGCTCTGTCCTCCCTGGCCTGAAGCCATGCCCAGAGCCATTTGCAGGGATGATACACAAGCACCTTTGGCTTTGAGGGTTGTGGGAAGCTGGTAGCTAGGGCAGCTAGTGACTTAGTGGATTCAGTGACTTAGCCACAGTGTCCTCTGTCACCCACCTTCTCAGTGGGCAGCTGGACATCACCTCCAAGGTAGGCAGGACCTGGGTTGCTGCCAACCAGTCACTGTGGCCCTTCCCCATTGCCCCCCCCTCTGGATATTACTGCTGGCCGATTCGCTTTTCCAACCCTTTCCCTTCCAAGCCTAGGAGCTGTGGGGGAAGTGGGGGAGGGGGCGGAGCTTCTGGGAGCATGTCCCTGGAGGCTGTGGTGGGTAGGGTACCACCCTCACTTCTGGGAGATCATCTCTTCTGTGGTTATTCCTGGCAATGGCAGGCGTGACAGGTTGGGCAGTTTTGGTTAACACTGTCATCTCATTCACATGTAGATTCCTCTTCCTGACCCCTCTTGCTTCCCCATCAGGTTTTTGACGCTACTAATACAACGAGAGAAAGAAGGCACATGATCCTGCATTTTGCCAAAGAGAATGACTTCAAGGTGAGCTCACGTGGCATGTCATTCCAGCGACCCCTACAGGAAGAACTGCCTTCAGCCCATTAGTGGGCTCCCTCATCCCCGCAGGGTCCTTTGCCTGTCCTGGCTGTCTGAGTTCTGCTCCCTGAAAATCGGGCTGGGGATTGTGGACTTATTTGTCTGCGGGAAGGGTGGAGGATGTGGTGGTTCCAGGATGACTTTGAGGTCATCCGGTATGGGATGGTGATGTGGTGCTGACGCTGACCTTGTGTGATAATTTGTTCTTTCCTAACATTTTCTTCTTGCCCCCCCCCCCCCACTAGGCATTTTTCATTGAATCCGTGTGTGACGACCCTACAGTGGTTGCTTCCAACATCATGGTAAGCCGCCAGGATGCCTTGCTTGGGTGGAGCTTACATGGCAAGGACTTTGCAATTCTACAAAAAGTAGGAACTCAGGCCAGCCCCCCCATAAAGAAACTAGGTCAGCCCTTGAACAGAAACCGAACCTTTAGAATGAGCTGCACCTCCCACCTCATGGTTGTGCTAAGAATGCACAAGAGCAGGAACTCAGAAGCATGGTCTGTGACCCCGACCTGCGTGGAAGTTACATCTAGGCTCTGTCTGGGGTCTTTGAGGACAGACAGACGTACACAGTCTTACCTAGGACATGGTGAAATGAGGAGACTGGGGGAATTTGAGTAGGTGGTGGGAGCAAGGCAGCTGGGGTCTGGGACAGGAGACAGTGAGCCATCGAGATTGCAGATGGGTAGGAATACGCATGTGTAATCAAAAGCTTTGAGAACTCAGAATGCTGAAGGAAGACCTTCCAAGTTTAGGGAGAAGGGTCATAGTTACAGTTACTCTGCAGATTACTCTTTGCTGAACCTGCAATGTACCATGCACCTTGATTTCACCATTTCAAGGGGAGCTAGCTTGGATAAATCCAGAGTAATTGGCAGCATAATTGGATTAAGTTCGTTTATTTTGTCGTTTGATGGCAAGAGATCATAAATAGAAATGATTGCTATGAAGCCTTTATCATAGATCTCTTTCTCATGTTCAAGATCAGTTTTTCTGCCCAGTTTAAACATATCAGAATAGGACATCTGCCTAAAGAAAAGTAGGGGATCCTGTGCATTTGCTGTATACAAATGCTCAGGGTGTGTTGGTTCATCTCTCCGAGGCAGTTTAGAAATGTCTATGAGCATTTCTAAGAAATGAGTTCATATTTCAGGAAAGACTATTTGGGGTGAGGGAAATCAGTTGAATCACCTGCAGTGGGTCCAAAGGAAGAGTCTCAATGCCAAAGGAAAGGGAGGTACTCTGAGCTGCACAAAGGACTCTGCTGGCATCTTTCAGTTTCATTTTCCTCGGTCTATTTGGTAACGAAGCGCATAGCAGCTGTGAAATCATTTTTTTCCCCAGTGAGTAGCTCCCAATGTGCTTAGCTAGGAGTTTATCTGTTAGCTTGTCCATGAACACAGCTTACCATTTGTCCTGATCCTCTGTGTTTAGAAAACTCTTTCCCCCATTAAGCCTCAGAGCAATTTTGTGGTGATGTCCAGGAATTTGTCATCACCCCTGGCTGGATAGATATTTTTATTGCAAAATAGACATACTTTGTGTATATGTGTGTATGTTGGTCCTAGGACCTGGGTACTGTCCCAGAGCTATTTGGCTCAGGGCTAGCATTCTGCCACTTTGAGCCACAGCTCCACTTCTAGCTTTTTTGGTGGTTAATTGGAGATAAAAGTCTCCCTGACTTTCCTGTTTGGGCTGGCTTTGAACTATGATCCTCAGATTTCTACCTCCTGAGTTGTTAGGATTGCAGGTGTGAACCCCCTAGGTCCAGCTCAATTATAACCAGTTCTAAGTGTGTGTAATATGGCATTATTAAGCGCCATTCAAATAGTTGGGCAGCCATTCTTGCCATCTATCCCTGGGCCTTTTCATTCCCTCTTCTGAAGCTCTGTACTTATGAAACAAGAACTCCCTGTGGACTTAGATCTTTGAAGAGTGTCTCCTTACACTTCCAAGTCCCAGAGATTAAAAAGAAGCACAAGCAATGGAAAATTCTGAGTTCCTTTAAGAACTACAAGGTTACTGATGTCTCTGCCCTGAAGGGCAGCCCTTGAAAAGCTGGGGTCTTGTCAGAGCAGCTGTAATTATAGACCGGCCATGAGTGAGTGTTCCTCTGTCTCCACAGAAGGAGATGAGTCCAGTCAAAGTCAAGAGTATCTCTCATCCACTAATGTGCTTTTTATCACCAGAGACCTGCTCTTAGTATGAGGAACACTGTAGGAACTACTTTTTTCTTTTTTTTTAATTAATAAGTTTTTTTTTTTAATTGTGAAAATACTGTACAGAGGGTTTACAATTACATGAGCAAGGTAATGAGTATATTTAGGAACTACTTATGTAGGGCCCAGCCCAGTCTGTCTGGTGGTGAATCCACTACTGGACTGACGCTGAGTTGATAGTTCAGAGCTGTTCATTATGACTTCCTTGTAGGTTGTCTCTCCTAGATGCCCTCTCCATGTCATCATGGGGTTTTGTGTCAACCCCCAGTTTCTTTTCTTTTCTTTCCTCTTAAATGCTGGGTAGTATAATCTTTATTCTGAGCCTTTCTGGGCTTTCCCCTTTTGAAAGCTCCAAATCCTGCTTAATCTAAGCAGAAAGCCTTCCAGCCTGATTCATCAGCTGCTTCTTTGTGATGTTATAGGAAGTTAAAATCTCCAGCCCGGATTACAAAGACTGCAATTCGGCAGAAGCCATGGACGACTTCATGAAGAGAATCAATTGCTATGAAGCCAGCTACCAGCCCCTTGACCCTGATAAATGTGACAGGTAATTCTCATTGGTGAGCCTCTCTCAATGAAGGATTCTTAGGACTTTTTTTTTCCTGCAAAAGCACTTACCCTCAGATATGTCCATATACTCATTAAAAAAGGTATTACTTTTTTTTTAAAGGCATTCATAAAAACGTCCTTGAAGCTGGACTTGGCATTGCATACCTATAACTCAGCACTTGGGAAGCTTAAGGCCAGAGGTTCTAGAGTTCCAGGTGGTCTGGGCACAGTTAGAACCTATCTCAAAAAACAAGAAATAGGAACAAAAGAACTTGGCATGACTTAAGTGGCAGAGAATCCTTGCCTAGGATGCATGAAGCAAATAGACTCAGTCTCAGAATTGTCTAAGTTGGGCATGGTATTGCATGTGTAATCTCAGTACTTGGGACAGTGAAGCAGGAGGATCAAGAGATCCAGGGCAGCCAGAACTATATACCCTGCCTCAACAAACAAACAAACAAGCCACACCAAAAACCTTGACTGAACAAACCCATGTCAATACAAATCTTGTAAACTTACTGTTGAATCCAGTATCACTATTGCCTTCTGACACTTCATTTTCTTTTCTATTCTCTTTCTTTTTTCTCCTTCACCTGAGAGATCAGTTCTCCTCTTGACTAAGATGTATTATGGAGATGGTTTTGCATTTATTTTATTCCCTGACTTCTTGGTTTGTATCCTGGGGTCATATGTCCAGTTCAACACTGCTGGTCTCTCAGGGTTGGAGTCTTCTGGAAGCTGGCCAGGCCTGGGGCTGGCTGTGCTGGTAGGGCAGGCTGGTCCCGTGGTCCTCAATGGTGTTTCTCTACAGGGACCTGTCACTGATCAAAGTGATAGACGTTGGCCGCAGATTCCTGGTGAACAGAGTTCAGGACCACATCCAGAGCCGCATCGTGTACTACCTGATGAACATCCACGTGCAGCCCCGCACCATCTACCTGTGTCGGCACGGCGAGAACGAGTTCAACCTCCAGGGCAAGATCGGGGGTGACTCAGGCCTGTCCAGCAGAGGCAAGAAGGTAGATATAGATAGAAGCAGATGGCAGGTGGTTGTTGGACTGACTCATGGAGCCTCGCAGGAGGCCAGCTCCCATTAGTAGGGGAGTGAATAGTTTAAGAGTCTCACAGACTTTCCTGCCCAGGCTGGCTTTGAACTGCAATCCTCAGATCTCAGCCTCCTGAGTAACTTGGGTTATAGGTGTGAACCACCGGTGCCCAGCTTGTGTGTGTGTGTGTGCGTGCACACACACACACACAGGCGTGCACACATATGCTCCAGTATTAGGACTTGAACTCAGTGCTTTGGTGCTGTCCCTTAGCTTTTTTTACTCTAGGCTGGTACATTATCATTTGAACCAAAGCTTCATTTCCACCTTTTTGGTGGTTCATTAGAGATGAGTCTCACAGACTTTCCTGCCTGGACTGGCTTGGAACCATGATCTTCAGCTCTCAGCCTCCTGAGTAGCTGGGATTACAGGCGTGAGCCTCTAGCGCCCAATTTCCTGGCACCAGTTTAATATGCTTTGGGGCACTTCCCTGCTCCCTGCCCCCTGTCCCGCTCCCCCAATGCCTCTGGGAGATGAAGTATCCCCGAATCAGTGAGCCCTGTGTCCCCTGAACAGTTTGCCAGTGCCCTGAGCAAGTTTGTGGAGGAGCAGAACCTGAAGGACCTCCGTGTGTGGACCAGCCAGCTGAAGAGCACCATCCAGACAGCCGAGGCCCTGCGGCTCCCCTACGAGCAGTGGAAGGCGCTGAATGAAATCGATGCTGTGAGTCTCAGGGCTGTGGAGGGGGCTGGACTGGGAGTGGGGCATTGTCTGGTGGATCTGCTGAAATCATATCCCTGCATTCTGGCTGCCCCTGTGGGTGCAATGCCCTGGGTTGAATGCTGCTGTTCTCTGCTAGGGCGTGTGTGAGGAGCTGACCTATGAGGAGATCAGAGACACCTATCCTGAGGAGTATGCGCTGCGCGAGCAAGACAAATACTACTACCGCTACCCCACGGGCGAGGTGAGCAGGGGGTCACCGTCTTGCAAGTCTTCTTGTATTCCACAGATAATAATCAGGGGTGTGTGCTATGTGTATGATTCACTTGAGAGCTTTGGAGGTCTAAGGGGATCCTCCCCCCGCCCCATGACCAGCTGGCTGGATAACCCCTTCCAGGAACCTTGTATTCTGTAGCTCATTCCTCCCACTGCAGCCTTGAACATGAGCTGTCCTGAATGGAGCCGTGTATGTGGGTGTGTTTTTCTCATAAGCAAAAGCGAGTGGTATGCATGCATCTCTCCAGGAAAGAGGCTAAGATGAGGGAATGAGGGAGGTGGACTCACTTCAGACAAGGTTCCCCCTCCTCCCCACCCCCACCCCCACCCCCACCCCCAGAGGTTGCAGTTGCAGTGGTGGACAGGCCCCTTGTGAGGATGTGGCCTTGCCTGTCTTGTGTTAGGGCCGGAGTGGGCACTGGTGTGGGAGGACATTTCCATTTGGGGTGCACATCTCCCAGTGTGGCTGAGCACGCGGCTGCTCTGAATGAGAATGGGGTGTGCCAAGTCATGCAGGGCTCCGGGAGGCAGGCCAGGTGGGTGCGTTAACACCCGGTGGGCGTCCTTCCTGCTCATGCCCTCTGACCATTTGTCAGCTCTCAGTCCCTGCTGGGCCAGCAGCCTGTCCCTCCTCTGGTCCCACACTTGCCTCACTGGGACCGGTTTAGGAGAGAAGGGAGGGTGGTGGAGGGCCAGCGTGAATAGGGGCTGTGCTGATCTCTCCAAAAACATTTCTTTTTATGCATTTTATTTTTTGAAAGTGACAACCTACCCCTTCTTACAGTTAAAAAAAAACTGGCATAAAGTTTATGTAACATAGACTTCATTATTTTAACCATTTGGAAATATATGATTCTGGATTTCCCTCCCCTCCCCTCCCCTCTCTTCTCCTCCCCTCCCCTCCCCTTCTCCCTTCCTTCCTTCTTGGATTGGACCAGGACATGAAGATAGCAAAACTACACTGAGTTGCATATCAAACAAACCAAAGACTCTACTTAATAGTTTTAAGAAGTATAGCTGATAGTCCATAGTGGGAGAAGCTTGAAGAAATGAGATGTTGAGTCTGTTTTGCAAGGTGTTAGACTGTGCAGGCCTTAAGCTCTTTTGCTCAAGGCTAGCGCTCTACCACTTTGAGCCACAGCACTACTTCCAGTTTTCTGGTGATTAATTGGAGATATGGGTCTCACAGACTTTCCAGCCTGGTCTGGCTTTCAACTGCGATCCTCAGATCTCAGACTCCTGAATGGCTAGGATTACAGGCGTGAGCTACCAGCATTCGATTTTCAAGTCAGTAACTTTTAAGATACAGTTGTTTCTTAGTGTCCTCAGAGGATTGGCTCCAGTACCATCGTATATATGTAGATACTCAAGTCCTTTATATAAGATGGTATTTGCATACGACCTACACATATTCTCCTACATGTTATAAATTCTGTCTTGAGCCTTCTGTACTCACAGTGCCAGGCTACCATCACCACTAACTAGAACCTTCCTCTCACCACAAGGAGACCTCAGCCTTGTTAAGAGACGGTCCCTCTGCTTTCCTTTCCCCTGGTAACCAGGAATCTCTTTTCTGCTTCTATGGAGCTGCCAACCCTGGAAATGGAATCATACTAAATATATGGACTTTGGTGCTCGGCTTTTTTCACTCACCATAAAGCTTTTGAAGTTCCTCCATGTTGTAGTGGTGTGTTAGGACTTCCTTCCTTTTGATGGCTGAGTAACATTCCACTGTAGACTTGTCCCTTCCCAACTTCTGCCATCCCTTACCAGTTAGGAAACGGTAGGAAGGAGATGAGATAGAGATAGACAGACAGACAGACAGACCCAGCAGGCTTATGTCCCCTCAGGATGATCTCACCAAATGTCCAGGGATGGGTTGGTGGATGAATGGATGGGAGGATGAATGGAGCTGTCTGGTCTGTGATGATGGAAGGCTAGTAGTAGGGAGGGAATGACACTGGCTCTTCCCCAAGTGCTTTCTCTTCCAACATGGCCCCTTATCCCTCTGTGTTAAGTCCTACCAGGACCTGGTCCAGCGCCTGGAGCCCGTGATCATGGAGCTGGAGCGCCAGGAGAATGTGCTAGTCATCTGCCACCAGGCTGTCCTGCGCTGCCTGCTAGCCTACTTCCTGGATAAGAGCGCAGGTACCACAGGCAGGCCGTGCTTTGGGAGGGAGGCAGGAAAGTGGCCTGAGTGTTGGGTCGTTGTTTACCCTGCTTACCCATCGGAATGTTAGAGCAAGCGGGCCTGGGGTCCGACCCACAGCCTTCTGCAGGGGTCTCTCTCCTCTAGCGCTTTCGTACTGGCTCTTAGGGCCCTTGTGGGCTTCATGACATCACGGTTCAGCCACTACTCATCTAAGGGCCTCTAGGCTGGGTATCGAAGGCCATCCTTCTCGGCCCCCTTCCGAGGAACACATAGCTCAGGAAACCAATGAAACCATCAAAATACCATCTTCATGTCTGCCCAGCTGCAGTTGAATCCCAAGACACACCTAAAATTGTGTGGAAAACGACTTAAAATGTCACAGAACAAAATCAACAACTTTTAATCCACCTTATGAGTTGTTTGCTTTGGTTTTGTTAGTTTTGGTTTTTGAGACAGGCTCATTCTCTCCCTAGACAGCTCAGGCCGATCTGGAATTTCCTATGAATCCCAGTCTAGCCTTGAACTAGACATACTCTTTCTCTGACTACACAGTGCTGGGATTGTAAGTGTGAACACCAAGCCCAGTAGTTTTTTTGTTTTTTGTTTTTGGGTCCGGTCGTGGGGCCTGAACTCTGGGCCTGGGCGCTGTCCCTCAACTCTTCAGCTCAAGGCTAGCGCTCTACCAATTGAGCCACAGTGCCACTTCCAGCTTTTTTCTTTTTTCTTATATGGTGCTGAGGAATCGAACCCAGCGCTTCATGCATGCAAGGCAAACGCTCTACCACTGAGCCACCTTCCCAGCCCTCAGTAGTTTTTTTTTGAAACTATGTTCTTTTGGCTAGGTGTCTTTATCAAGGGCGCCTGCAGGAAGGGCCAATACTCCTGTGTGGGCTCAGCCTTTGGGGTCCCTATAGGGCAGAAACTCACGGTGGGCCAGAGGATATCCTTCTCCCTCTCCCTGCCTCCAGCCTCATATCTAATTGTGGACCCTATGTCTCTCTCCAGAAGAGATGCCCTACCTGAAATGTCCTCTTCACACCGTCCTGAAACTGACACCTGTTGCTTACGGTGAGTCACAGCCTTTGCCAAGCCCTGCCCCGAGTGCCTGTGTCTTCCCGTGGGTGGGATGTTGTAGGTGGGGTGGTCCCTTGAACAAAAGTCATCTTCCTCTGTCTTCGTGCTCAGGTTGCCGTGTGGAATCCATTTACCTGAATGTGGAGTCAGTGAGCACACACCGAGAGAGGTCAGAGGTGAGTCTGGCCCTCTCCCTAGCCTGGCCTTCATCATACCAGGAGGTGATAGGGTCCTCAGGGTGCTCCATGCCTAGGTTCTTGCTCAGTACCTTGTCTGTACTAGGTCTGGCCGGCTGCCTGCCTCGGTCAGTCCCTCTGTGTTCCTGCCCTGTCTTTCCTGTGGCTTCTTCACAGGATCTATTTATCCTTTTCCCGTCTTTGTATGCTTTCTACATCTCCACCTGACTAGTAAAGTGAGTACTGTAAAGAGGGAGTGACATGCTCTTCTTTTTTTTTTTTTTTTTTGTCCGTTGTGGGGCTTGAACTCAGGACCTAGGCACTGACCCTGAGCTTTTTTACTCAAGGCTAGCGCTCTGCCACTTTGAGCCACAGCGCCACTTCTGGTTTTCTGGTGGTTAATTGGAAATAAGAGTCTCATGGACTTTCTTGTCCAGGCTGGCTTCAAACTGTGATTCTCAGATCTCAGCTTCCTGAGTAGCTAGGATGACAGGCATGAGCCACCTGTGCCTGGCTTTTTAAAAATTTTATTACTGTTATTATAAAGATGATGTACAGAGAGGTTACAGTTACATAAATCAGGTAAACAGCACATTTCTTTTTGGACAATGTCACCTTTTCCCTGGCTGTTTCCCAGTGTTTCCTTCTAAAGCCTCCTCTTTTAAACATAGCCCAAACCCAGGAACTATTGTTTCTTCAGATCCCTACAACTGTGCTTTCAGGAAAGTTCCAGAAGCCTGGTTCCAACAGGATAGGCCAGTCGTCTGCCTGTGGTTAAGTCAGAATTAACAAGAGTTTGATAGCATTGAGAAAGGCAGCAGGGCTGGAGGCGGGGAGACATGATGAAAGGCCAATGGGATGATGCTCAGGGACCCCGATGCCTGGCTGTCTTGTTTTTCACCTCAGGGAGGGCTGGGATCTGGGGTGGGTTGGTTCCATGAATCCTCTACAGAGCAGATCCTTTTTCTGTCCAGGTGTGCAGTGTACAAGTGAGTTTGAATTTGCTCCATGCAGGCTGTTGCTCCAAATGCAACCCTTTGCCAGTATAGGTAGGCCTTCCTCTTAGGCTGAGCATGGCTTTCTGTTGATGGAGTCTGAAACACAGGTGATTTCTGTATTTCCACGGAACTTAGCCATGGACTCTGGGCTGTGCGAGCACACGAGGCTGGGAGTGGTCTGTACATTGGTGGGCAGCAGGATTTCCAGGTTGAGGTCAGTCTGGATTTTATAGAGAGACCCTCAGGGAAAAACACAGCAAAACAAAAACCAACACAAAATCTACCACAACACAGAAAGAGTGCATGAGATGCCAGCCAGTTATCTGCCACTCTGGACCCGGTGGAAGCATTCCTTGCTGTGTCTCTAGCTCCCCTCTCTGGAATGAGGGATCCAAAGACACTGTGCTTGCCTAAGCTGAAGAGGACAGCCCTGGCCTCGAATGCTTGTTTGTGGAGCACTGGGCATATCGGATGTCCTATGCCCTGCTCTGTGGGGAGCTCTGGGACCTGTCATGGTGTCCTCTGATAGATGTTGGTGTTTGCTCCTGGTTGCCAGATCCATCGGCAGTGGATTTTTCCATATTGCTTGTCTCCTGGCTCAGTTGTCCGCTCTGTAGACCATGCTCAGTCAGGGTGAGGGGCTTATTAGGACAGGCAGGGTCCTTTTTCTCTGACTTGGTTAGCTGCAGTAATTTCCCCCCTGGCTTTACCCACGCCTGTGTGGGCACCTTAGCAATGATCTGAGGGAAGAACACAGGAAGGGATCACCCTGACACCACCTGAGAGACAGTACACATGGCAGGGTTCTCTGCTCACTCGTCTTGGGCTGTCTGGTTGTACCCCTAAATCCCACAAGCAGGTGAATTGTGTGTGTGTGTGTTGGCTTAGCTCCCTTCCTCTCCCTTCCTCCCCATTCCTTGTAACTGTCGCCTTCTCTCTTTTGTCTTTGTCTTGCTTAGGATGCAAAGAAGGGACCTAACCCGCTCATGAGACGCAATAGTGTCACCCCACTAGCCAGTCCCGAACCCACCAAAAAACCTCGCATCAACAGCTTTGAGGAGCATGTGGCTTCCACTTCTGCTGCCCTGCCCAGCTGCCTGCCCCCGGAGGTACCCACGCAGCTGCCCGGACAAGTCAGTGACTCCCCTCTTCTTCCTGCCTTGAAGTGGGGGGCGGGGAGGGGTGAGAGCCTGTGTGCTGTGTAGGCATGAGTGGGTATGTAAGTGTGTTCTGTATTGTGTGGTGTAGGTGGTATGTGCATGTGTGTGTGTGTGTGTGTGTGTGTGTGTGTGTGCGCACAAATTTTGGGGAGGGATAAAGAAAAACCCTATCTATCTTTCCTTACTGACAATGATTGTGACTGTCTGGGTACCCTATCTAAGGTGGTGGTGTTTACTGGGCAGAACCAGATAGAGCAGAAAACAAACAGTAAAATGCCTGAATCTGGTTCACTTTTCTTTCTCGTTCATTGTGGGACTTGAACTCAAGGCCTGAATATTGTCCCTGAGCTCTTTTTCTCAAGGCTAGCACTCTACCACTTGGAACCACAGCGCCGCTTCTGGTTTTCTGGTGGCTAATTGGAGATATGAGCCTCAGACTTTCCTGCCTAGACTAGCTTTGAACTGTGATCCTTAGATCTCAGCCACCTGAATAGGTAGGATTACCGGAATGAGCCCTCATAGCACCTGGCTTCTTGTTCTCATTTATGACTAGAGATTTCTAAAAGTCCATAGCAATCCTCAGTCCAAGAGCCTTCATCCATCTCTGTGGACCTTGGATACAATTTTCTGTTGTAGCCCACAGCTCAGTGCTCTCTTATAGTCATCCCCCACTGCAGAAAGGCTGGGTTTTCACAGTGATGAGCCACCTTGGCATTTGTAGAAGTATGCAGACCAGCTCTCAGGCTGGATGACCAGAAGGAGCCTTTTGTTTGTAACACCTATTTCAGCAGGTAGTAAGAACCAGAAGAAAGCAAGCCAACCAGATTTCACTTGTTTTCCTAGCTCAGGATCAAAAGCTAGAAGATTTTTGTACCTGGGCTTAATATGAAGGTTTGCTTTTGGCCCCAAACCTTTGCAAGTACGTGAGATATAGAAAGAAATCTCTGAGTTCCGATTCAGGTGCTACCCAAGAGTCTAGCCTACTGGTACTTCCATGTGTGGCCCCTTACAAATCAATGTAGGCTGAATTCCAGATTGGATTTGTTCACGAGCTTGATATCAACTCACCTTTAGGGGCATTGATCTACAACCCACCCACCAACTCTTTGGGTCTTTCCTGGTGGTTCTTTCACCTCCTGGCATCTGGAATGTGCTATGGGGAGAGCAATAAGGCCCCTGTAGGTCATTTAACTTCCCCAGGCCTCAGTTTTTGCATCCAAGGAATGGCAATCACACTTGCAATAATAAGGCTGTATCCAGTGAGCCCTCAGCCATTATTAGTTAGGAATCTGGCTTCAGTAATAGATCCACCTGTAGCACAAGTGTAGGAGTTTTCAAAATCTTCTGAGACCAGGTCTTACTGTATAGTCTAACCTGGCCTTGAATTCGTACTCTTCCTGTCCCCTGCTCTCCCCCCCCCCCCCACTTTTTTTTTTTCCCCGAGAAAATGCAGGTTACTTTTCCTCATTTCACCTCCCTGTTCTTCAGTGTCCTTTGCTGGGAGAACTCTAATAAATATTCCCTAATCTGAGAGTTTAAGATTGAAAACTGAGCAATACTGAAGTACCATCTCTAGGCCATTCTACAGGTGCATTACGGGGTTTGATACGTGAGGAAAGGGCCATGGTGGGCACAGAGGTCCATTGATTTGGCCATGTGGGGAGCTATGGCAAGGTCAGCCCTGTCCCTCAGTTCAGAGTTGCCCTGACTGTGCCAGGACAATCCGTTAGGAGTCCTGAAAATGTCGGGAGCTGTTGGCTGGACCACACGTGGGAGGTAGGCTGGGGTTCACCCTGGACGTGGCATCCTGTATCCTGACTGACTTTTCTCTTTCCCCACTTTCTCTCCTGCAGCCTTTGCTAGGGAAAGCCTGTCTGTAAGTATTTCTCTCTGAATGATTCTGTTGCTTGCATTTTCTTGCTTGCTGGGCCAGTTTAGCCTCTTGCCAGTTAAAATATTGAGGATAGGACAATTTTTTTTTTGTTTTTTTAGCATCTGAGGTTTTCTGTGGAGAAGGAGGAGGAGGAGATGGACTTGGGAGGAAGGAGAGAAGAGAATTCAGGAATTTTCTAGTGCGGGATGTAAGGTGTGGTGGGTCCACCGATGTTCGTTCAGGTGTCCCCACACTGTAGAGGTCACTACATGCTTCTTTGTAGTCCCTGTTCTAGGTTATGTCTGCAGTGCTTGGGGTCTGGGGCTTGGTATATATCCAAAATTTCCCTCTTGGGGTGGTAAGGTCTGAAGTTTGGGGTTTTTGATTTTTCTTTTTTTTTTTGTGCTAGTCTTGGGGCTTGAACTCAGTACCTAGGGCACTGTCCTTGAGTTTTTGTGCTCAAAACTAGCACTCTACCACTTAAGACATAGCTCCACTTCTGGCTCTTTTTATTTTTTTTATAGTTAGAGAGTCTCACAGGCTTTCCTGTCTGGGATGGCTTTGGGTTTGAACTTTTTATGTCTTATCTTTTCCCTGAAGAGCATCCTTTCATTCAAAAAGGAAATTTTACCCAGAGTCTAATCTATGAAAGAAATATATGAGGAAGTACCTCTCCTCTCCAAGATGTTCCAGGAGCTTTGGTGAACTGTACATGGAAACCCTACTTGGGCATCCAGTTGATCTTGTATGGAACCCTAGTCAGCTGTAAGTCCTGGTCAACATTGTGTACAGCTTGGACATCAGACCTATCACGTTACCTCTTCCTTCAGTCAGAGCTCTCTGTAGAAAGTTCTAGTTCAGTATTATCTCTGGCTGCTACCAGCTAGATGATGCAGTGTGTCTTCTGTGCTGGTGATCTCCACTGCAGATGGACCCTTGACCTTTGTGGAACAACCACCTAAAAAATGTCACCTTACTGTTCCAGTCCCATCTCCCTCAATATTCCTTTTGTGTGCATGAATTAACCTTGGTAAGCTGATGCAGAAACTGGGGAGGTGAAAGTTAGACTTAGGAGCTGAAGAGTAGGGAGCATTTTGGGGAAGCAGGAATGGTTTGGCATCATGCCTGGCTCATGGAGGTACCATAGAGCTCATGAAGAATGGACTATCCCAACCCTCACATCTCTTGTCCTTCAATAACACTAGGAGGTTGGCAGGGCAGTTCCTGTCTTGCTTAAAAGTGCCCACAACCACTAGCTGGTAGGCAGTAGAGCCACATGGGCAGCATGCTTTCAAAGGAGAGGTTTTTCCTTTCTACCAGCTTCTTAGAGTAGCCCGGATATTGTCTTCCCATTTGTGTGTCCCCAGATTGCTGATCTTTGCAGCCTAAGGAACATGTCCAGCTCCTTAGTTGATGTCTGGCATCTCAGCTTCAGTAAGCAGCACCTTCATTTGTAGCTGCTTCCCATGGCCTAATACTGGGCATTACCTTCCATCTTTAAAGAGTAAGACATCATCACAGTGCAATGTCTGCTGTCCCTTTGGAGCCACCACGCCAGCACAAGGGTTAGGGATCAGGGGTTCTTGTGTGAAAATCATTTGGGATGTTAGAGCCTGAAACAAATGTTTCTGCTATTCAGGCCATTCAGGTTCATCCCCCTATCTTCTGGACTTTGTCCATCACCAAGGTAAAGCTGACTGTACTTTTGGCCAGAATCCCTTCCATTTAACAAAAGTACCTCCTAAAGAATCTGGTCAGTTTCTGTTGTGGGGTGTTAAGGTCTAGACCAGCCCAGGAGTGTGAGCCATTGTGTTGGATCATAAATAATGTCTTGATTTTAGGAATTTTGATGGCCAAAATTGTTTATGAAATTCAGAACAAACCAGCTTTGTGTCTCAGTTTTACTGCTGGCCACTGTATTTGGAACTCATCTATAAAATGGAGAAAGTAACTCTGCAAGGGATTTTGAGCCTTTTTTTTTTCTTTTCCTCTCCCCCTTGGCAAAGTATTTGTCATCTTGGAGGGGCCTGGCGGATGGTAGCTGCTGTTACTCAGTAGTTGATGAGCAGACTCTTTGGGTTTGAATCTGTGTTTTTGTCCCCTTTGCTCCGTGCCACTGGGCTTGAGATTTCTATCCATGAGCAGCTGGAGCACTGAGATTTGGAAGGAGGGAAGCCCCTGGGGTCTGAGGCTGTGATCTTGGTTTTCTGCTCAAATTGGAGAATGACAATGGCCCAGACACTGCTGGGGCCCCCCCGGCTGTGTTAACTGTTTGAGACTGAAAGTCCAGTAGGCATTCAAGATGAAGCTTTTATTTTGAAATGACAAATGTATACTACAGACAAAATACTACTGATGTATACATATACTTCCCATTTCCAACCTGTTGTGTTTTGTTTTTTCTCTTTCCCACTACGCTTGAAAGACGAACTGTCTGTCACATTTTCTCAAAGTTTTCTCCTTACTAACTTTGGAAAGGTAAACGACCCAGTGCATGTCCCTCTCTGTCCCTTCTTGCATCTCTCCCAGTCATAGCATCTCAGCCACAGGGCGTTTTGGTCTTGTGCAGATTGGCCATTGTGGATTATGTGGCTTATGTGTTGGTGCTGGAGGGGTTTACGAGTGGTATCATTGTCATTAGGTCCTTTTCCCTCTGTCTGTTCCGCCTCCATGTGTCCTGCACCAGGGGCCCTGTGAGTGAACGATATGGACCTAACCATCATGTAGCTGTCCTCTGTTGTTGTTGCCTGGCTAATGCCACATGGGTACTGGAGGCCATGGGCCTCTTGATGTCCAGTGTTGGAGCTAGTAGTAGCCTTCACTCTCCCCGTGTCCCTGCTCAACCCACAACTTGGCTAGCGCTCTATAGACGCAAGATCCAGGACACTGCCAGAGATCCACCCTCTCACTGAAGGCTTTGGTCACGTGGGCTCCTGAGTCCCACCCAGCTGAGAGTGGTTGGCTCTGGGGTCATCTGGTTCTGAGAATTTCCTTTCTAGAGATGTCTCCAGCGGGCACCCTTAGTTCTATGGGGGTAAGGGCAGCTCTTTGTATACCACTGTCTGGATCCTCTCTCTAGGATCCTGTCCTCTGTAGAACATCTTGAGGTGGAAGGAGCTGCTGGAAAGATCAGAGGGAATACTAAGAAAAATCGTGTCTCTATTTTTGAAGGATAGACTAAAGAGTTCAGGGCCATCATGTGACCCCAGCTGAATGAAGGACATTTTTTAGAGGGGGTTCTTACCCCAGTGGCTGAGAAGGGAGACTTTCTGTTAGGACCCCTGAGTTCAGGGCCAGGACAGAGTTCCCCACCAGCTCCAACTGTCTCACCCAGTGCCCGTCTTCTCCCGTGACTGGATTCCAGACACCAGGAGCTGAGTGTAAAGCTCTCTTGTTAGCTGAGCTACACAAGAGAAGCCTGTCCTACTTGAGATGTCCTCATCCTGCCCTCTGTCTGGGCATGGTGAGGAGGGGCCCCTCTGTGGGGTACAGAGGCAGTTGGGGGGGGTGGGTCACTTAAGGAGGTGTGAGTAAGGTCTCCTACCTGTGTCCCATGGTCCTCCATTCTCTCTGTCTGATCTACAGGACCCGGAGGATCCTAAGTCTCATGTCAGTCTCCCTATCTTTCTTCCCTGCCTCCTTTCGGCTGGTGCTAAGCAGGCTGCTGGCTGTGTCTAGCCTCTTCTGTGACCGTGACCTGCAGTATTTTCTGTCCCGTTCTGAGGCCTACCTGGACCCTCTCATCTGTCTCATGATAACTGTTGTCTCGGGGTGTGGAAGGTGGGAAAGCGGTCTCCATGGCATGGCTTTGTGACACACACTGTCAGCAGTCAGTCCTGATTTTCTTCTCTCCTTCTCTCTTATGAACAGAACATGAAAAGCAATGGAGCTTCCAGTAAACCCTGAAGACGATGCATCAGTTCCATTCCATTTCCATTTCTGCTGCTTGGCTTCTGCCCTCCTGTCTACCTGAGACCAAATGATGCCAAGGACTTTTCTGGACTGGGTTGAGGTAGGGGAGCAGGGGAGTCTGCTGCATCCCCTCATCCCCTCTTGCCCCCCACCAGCGGTGACGATGGAGACACCGGAAGGCCATGGGGTCCCCGCTTCCTGTGGCAAGTGGCAGACCTCCTTGTCTTCTGCTCTCTTGGGGCTTCCAGGGATGTCTGGCCTTCAGCTACCTCCCATGAGGCTTGGGGGGGTAGATGACAGAAGGCCTGGAGAAGGGACACAGAGTGCCGCTGTGCAGTTTTGTTTTGTTTCTGTGATTCTGTCCTGACATGGTTATAGCCATGGTGATTGCCAACCTGGTGGCAATCTTGGAACTGAATAAGGGCTGGGTCTTAGTGTTCGAAGGCTAGGAGATGTCAGGAAGCCTTTACCTAGCTATTTTTATGCATTCTGGGACTGGGGAAATGTCCCTGGAGAAGAAGAGACTTGGGGACTTCTGTCTGAGAGAGATCCCTCGGCAAAGCTGAGAACTGCCCGTCAACTGAGCAGTACATGCCCAGCTCCCACACGTTTTTTGCAGCCCTGAGTTAAGGACAGACCGGCTACCTGAGTGGAAGGAAGAACTGTGGATGTGATCATTGGGGTCTCCTTTCCCAGGGAGCTCTAGGGGTCCCTGGGTTTTCCTACCTGGATCTGGAAGCACCTGAGCCAATTGTTCTCCTGGAGCTGTTCGCATTGCACTTTTTTCTTTTCTTTCTTTTTTAATTATTATTATTATTATTATTAGTGTGTGTGTGTGTGTGTGTGTGTGTGTGTGAAGTGTGATGTGAAAGTCACACCTTGACTTGGAACTTAGATGCTAGAATATGAGAAGCTGAGCAGGCCCCAGAGCGGGATGAAGCCGGAACCTTCCAATCATCACAAGACTTAACTGTGAGAAGACACAGAGAAGACCTGATCTCCTCTCATGTTTCTCAGAAGGGAGAGGATGGTCCAAGTTAGGCCTCCCTCCGGGGACACATTCTCTGCGGGCTGCCCCTGTGCTTCTGTCAAGTGTCCGCTGTGTGTCTAGCACCGTGGTGGGGTGTTCAGGACTGAGGAGCGCCTTTGCCTTGCTGTCCTGGTGTTGTAACATGGGGAGCAGGGGTTGAAAGTATGGTCTGTGGGACACGTGGATGGAAATACCCATGGCTTCTGCTGGCCAGTGCCTCCTCCTTTGTCATCTCAAATTCCAGGGCGGTGGAGGTGGCGGGGTGGAATGTCAGAAACTTAGGGAAAGAAAAAAATTGAAAACTCAGCAATACAGTTTTCCCAAATGACCCTTTTAAGGATATCTCATGTGGTGCCAAAAGTCACTTTATGCCTTCTGCTTGTGAGGTCTGGCATCCTGGGGTGAGGGTTGGAGTAGGGGTTACAGACACATGAAGCTTGCAGTGGAGAGATGAGTTATTTTATTTGTCCTGGTCCCTGGGCTTGAACTCAGGGCCTGGGCACTGTCCTTTAGCTTTTCTACTTAATGCTGAACCTCTGAGCTGCAGCCTACTTCTGGCTATTGTGGTTATCTGGAGATAAGAATCTCATGGACTTCCCTGCCTAGGCTGGCTTCAAACCACAGTCCTTAGATCTGAGCCTCTTGGGTAGCTAGGGTTACAGGTATGAGCCACCAGCATCTGGCTCTGTGTTTTGAAAGAGTTTAAGAATATACATTTCTCTAGATGGGACTAGATGGGGCACAGAAATATTCTTCAGATACTCTGCAATAAAGGTTGTATGTTTTCCACACTAAATATTCAAATTCTCCCCACTAGCCCTACCCCTCTTTGAATGGACAGTCCAGTGAGTCCTGGCAGACTGCTGAGTGTGCACATGCACGTGAAATGTGCGGCTGGCTGTATTCTGAGATCAGAGGCACTGGTAGTCTGTGTGTGTGTGTGTGTGTGTGTGTGTGTGTGTGTGTGTGTGTGTGTGTGTGTGTGTGTGTGTGTGTGTGTGTGTGTGTGTGTGTGTGTGTGTGTGTGTGTGTTGGTACTGAGGCTTGAACTCAGTGCCTGGGCACTGGCCCTTAGCTTTGGCTCAAGGCTAATGCTCTGCCACTTGAGCTACAGCTCTACTTCTGACTTTCTGGTGGCTAATTGGAGATGAGTCTCTCTCATGGACTTTGCTGCCTGGGCTGGTTTCGAACCATGTTCCTCAGATCTGTCTCCTGAGTAGTTAGGATTACAGGCACTTGAGCCATCATCGCCCGACTGTAGCTTTACATTTATTAGTTGCCACTTTCTGGCCTCTTCCTTGCTTGTTTTCTTTGGAGCCAACTCTTTGAACATAAACTCTCCAGTCTGAGACAGGTAGGGGCTGGATAACAGTGGATATTTCCCTTGCATTTGTGGTGACCTAAAATCAATACATGAATAAAGAAAGATTTGCCTAACACAGGACTTCAGTTTGGTTAAAGGTCCTGGAAGAGGAGAAAGCACAAAACTAAGGTCAGATCTTGGAGAAGGTAATATGCTGCTTCATTGGAAAGCCAGTTTGACCTGATTTTGAGGGCTTGAGGAGTCTGATGTAGTTAAGTCATCGAACTTTTTGCTTCTATTGGTTTCCTCCCCAATCTCCGCAAACAAAACAACAGGGACCAATGTCTTTAACTTTGCATATGTTTTTGGGTGAGTTTCTCATTCTCCATTGATCATGGGCAAAGCTCTTCACTTTGGGAGAGTAGAAAAACTGAACCACACCAATGATCTTTTCATTTGTAATACTTGAAATTTATTTTTTTATTATTTTGATAGCAGATGTGCTATTTATTTATTTAATATGTATAAGGGAGCCTAAACAATAGAAAGCTGTCTAGATTGGGTTTCATTTGTTAATTGGTTTAGGGGGGCCTTATGTGTGTGATTTTTTTTTTTTTGACTTCTGTATATATATTTGTCTGAATTAATGACCTGGGATGAAGCTATGCTACATTTTCAAACAAGGGATGCCTTTGAGAAATTTGTATATTTTGCAGTTGCCAGATCAATAAAACATTGAAATACACCAACGGAGTGCATTGTGGGATCTTTTTTGGAAGGGAGGGAGGGGTAAGAGTCTTTAATTGACATTTATGGTGGGGACCCTTCAACTTCTCAGCTACCCTTTTGTTCCTTTAGAACATTCGAACAAAGATCATCTAGTGCCTGCATTTTAGGAGAGAAGATGTGTCAATTTAGTTTACATTGATATAACTTTTTTTATTTGGCCTTGAACTTTTAGATACCTTGCTTAAGCCTTTTGTTGGGATTCCAGGTTTAGGTTGATGGGAAAGTGCAGGAAATATAGAGAGCTGTCTCCCTCCCTCCTCCACTATACAGTGTTCCCTGTTACAACTGGCTTTAGTGAGGTTTATCTGTTATAGTTGATGGGCAGATGTGAGTACATTACTAGAAAGTAGAGTTCATGGCTTACTGTAGATTTCATGCTTTATAGTGTATAGTTCTTTAGGCTTGACAAATATATGGTGCTGTGTGTCTCCACCAAGGTGTTAGAGATGGGCATGTCAGGCCTTATTCTCTCCATACCTTTCCCTCAGTCCTTGCAAACAGCAGCAAGTCTTACACAAGCATTTCATCATGTAATGGGCAATATTACAGAAAGGCATAATTCATTTTATGTGCTTTCACCTCCTGCCTTTTTTTTCAACCTCTTCTAGCCCCTTCCAAACAGGGAAAAATACTTGATCAAAGTTCTTTGTCTTTGATGATGGGTTGTCAAAAGTTGGAAGGGATGTGGGGTTCCTTTATTTGATCTGCTGGGTTTTGAATCCAGGGCCTTCGGTTGGCTGGACAGGTGCTCTATTATTTGAACTGTGTTCCCCCGCCCCTTTTCACTTTAGTTGTTGTTTTGATAAACTCTGACTGGAGAGCTTGGCAGGGCCAGCCTACTAATCCTACCTATGTTGTTGGATGTCAGGTGCATGCCATCACCCCTAGCTTCTTGGTTGAGATGAGGAAAGGGGAGGGTCCTGCTAACTTTTTGGCTGGCTTTGAGCCCCAATCCTCCTGATCACCATCTGAATAGATGGGATTATAGGCATAAACCATTCTGGTCTTGAGAGCCTGCCTCTTTATGTCCAAGCTTCAGGGTCTTCATCTCTGCAGACAAAGCGATGTTGAACACTAGATGAGAATGTGTCTCCTAGCCTTTTCCCCAGAGACAGCCCTTACTCTCAGAACTATGCTTTTCTAACCAGAGCTGAGAACAGCTGTTTTCCCTTTGGCAGCTCCTTGTGGAAGTGACTCCCACGGTTCAGATGTGGAAGCTTTGAGATAGGGTAGAGCATTCTGATAGAATTGAGGCAATGCTCCCTCAGTTCTGAGCCAGCTTTGGCTGCTCTAGAGGTTGGGTGCAGGTAGCACAGCAGTGGCCTTTGACAGACAATCTGGTCCCAAATCTGGCCAGTTTTCCAGGTTATCATCCAAGAAAAAGATTGTTCATGCCTATAATCCTAGCTATGAAGGAGGCTGAAGTCAGAGGATGACAATTCAAGGCAGGAAAAGTCTGAGATTCTTTATGCCAATGAACCACCAAAAAGCCAGAAGTAGAGCTGTGAGGCAATGCCTGAGGTCAAGCCCCAGGACCAGCACACACACACACACACACACACACACACACACACACACACACACACACACACACACACACACACACACACACACACACACACACACACACACACACACACACACACACACACACACACACACACACACACACACCACGCACACATCTCCCAATATTTCAATTCCTAGGCTTGATTGACTGAGGAAATCTGCAAATGATTCCCGATCTTTGAGACAAGTTTTGTGGTTCATCTGGGTGGGCTTGGGCCGCTCCACAATCATAAAGGGAACATTGAAGAATGGAGATCCAGGCAGATGGTTTTCCATTTCTATCTCCAGACAATTAGGAGGCTCAAGTTTGTTATGAATATTTTCTTAGCTTGCTGTTTTCCTTTTGCTTACAGTGGTTTTTGATGACCTTTTCATTGTGGAATCTCAACAATTCCTTTGTAGTTTCTCTGGCTTTTAAAGTTTGGTATTTTTCACTTCTTAAGCTAGATATTCACCAATAAATATCTTCCTTAATTTTTTATTAGCTTATGTTAGTTATATGGGGGTGATTTTATTGTCAAATTTCCACACGTATTTCCAATATATTCCAATCAATCTCAACCCCTTGGTCATTCAATAGTCTCCTTAAGCACCTTAATTTAAAAAAAGTATTTAAAATGTATGTAGCATCATGCTATTATCTAATTAACTTTTTTTTTGTATGTGTACTAGCACTGGGGCTTGAACTTAGAACTTCCCATTCTCGCTTGGCTTTTTTGCTTAAGGCTGGCAGTGTACCACTTGAGCTATAGCTCCACTTCCAGCTTTTTGCTGGTTAAGAGTCTCATGTAGATAAGAGTCTCAAGGGCTTTTCTGCTCTGATTGGGTTTACACTTTGATCCTCACAAGTTACAGGCCTGAGCCACCAGCACTCAACTATAATTAACTTACCCCCAAATAGTTAATCTCCTGTTCCGGTGCTGTTCATTAAATCATGCTAAATAAGTAAACATGTTCTCAGCTGTGTCTACTGGGAAGTAGAATGTGGGCTGGAGGGGAAGTGAGATGCTAATCTGAAACCAGAGTCCACTACAGAGCCTAGCCTGGCCCTTGACAAGAGGAATCAGGGTTCAGTCTAGATCCAGATG